GCCCAGCCCCTGAGTTCAAGCCCAGAACTTGCAAAAATTAAAATAAAATAAATGAGCTAAAGGGAAATTTTATATTAGTTAAATCATCCTATTGTATATTTGTGTATTTGAGGGTGTATGGGTAGATGTTCCTTAGCATTTTTGCTAGCACTCTACCGGTAGGCTAGCACTCCAAGACTGAGCCACACCCTCCACTGCTAGCTTTCTGGTGGGTAAATGGAGGTAAGCGTCTCAAGGAATTTTTTTTAATTTTTTGTTACTATACAAGAGTTGTACAGTCAAGGAATTTCTTGTCCAGGTTGACTTCAAAATGTGATCCTCAGGTCTCAACCTCCTGAGTAGTAGACAGGATTATAGGCATGAGCCACTGATTTCTAACTCATATGGTTAATTTTTAATAGAATTTTCAGGAAATGAATAATAAAATTAAAATCATTTAGCTGTGAAAAGTATGCCAGATACTTAAAAAAGAAAAAGCATGTATTCAATCCTAGATTAATAGTGACAAAACATCAACTCACAAAAACCATCTATTACAAAGTTCACTGAAGTCAGACAGAACTCCTTTTACAACAAAAACCAACTTAGCCTTCCTCCATTACATTCACTAAAATACTTTGGCAGGGAAAACTACTCACATAGTATTAACAAAGAAAAAATATCATTTTGATTAAAGAGAAAACAAATCATTGACTCTAATAATATACCATTTAAACCTACATGTAAACTCAAGAACCTGTCAGACCTAAATTGCATATATGCAATTCCATACTAAAAACCTCAATATTATTAACTGAAGGCACTGATTTACAATGCTTCTAGAATCATGATTATTTTTCACATATGTCTAATGAGATGTCCAAGAAAAAGCACTCAAATTTAATTTACTCATCTTTTAATTCAGAATCTATCTTATATTTCTAAACTGTAATTATTTTTTTTTTTTTTTAAACTGTAATTATTAACTAAGAGTAATTTTGCCCACCCTTCCCCTTCAAGGTGTTTACAAATCTGGAAAAAAAGCTTTCATTGTACCTGAGGAGACAAATGTGAATTCTACTGGCATCTAATGGGTAAAGGCCAGAGATGCTACTAAACATCCTCCACATACAGGTCCCCACATCAAGAATTATACAACCTAAAATGTCAATCCTGCCTAGGCTAAGACACTTTGAAGTACAGAACTATTCAATATCAATCTGTATTTTTTTAAGATTTTTGTCATGTTTGTTTCTTTATTATTTGCTAACTGTATGCATTATCAGAACCCAGGACAATAGTATTCAAAAAGAAAAGTTTGCTGAATAAACAAAATGCCCCTAAACTTATCCCTCAAATTCTTACTGTCTCCAAATCCACTGCCTTTGAGGGCAAGGGCAATCTTTCAGTATCTCATACAGGTCCTGCAAACTAGCTAATCAACTAAACTGATTAAAAAACTCTGCCACAAGTTTCTTAAATCCCAGTTTGATCCAATCTTTTCATTTTTCTTCCCAAAACTTCTCAGCGACTACAAAATTGTAATAAGGTATCTGTCATTTAAAGATAAAGAAACCAAAACACGGTAGCCAGGTATGTATGTCCATAATTCCACCTTGTGGGAGTCTAAAGTAGGAGGGTTTCTACTTTGCACAAACCTAGACTACATAAGGAGAAAAATCGAATGAAAAGAGATGCAAGGGAAAAAAGACAGCAGGCAACTCAAAGATGAACACGAGTCTAGATCAGAACTTGACTCTCCCAACAATTTTTACTGTAAATTTATTTTCCCAAATCATAATGCTACTTCACTAATAGATACTTCCTCACTATGCCATCAACAACCACATTTATTCCCATTCTACCTGCTCAAACTTTCTCCTAACAAGCTTTTTCTTTTTCTATCCCACAGATCCAAATATTGTCCGTCCACCAAAATCTCTTCCTATCCCACTTTAATAACTTTCTTCTTGTCTATAAAATCTTATGTCTTGAATAAAATACCAGAGGAAGACAGTCATTATTGATACATGGACTAAGCTTAATGTATATTAACATTTCACATAAAGTAAAGCTATTTAGATTATTTCTTTCCTAAAAACCATTCATCCATTCTTTCCTGTTTTAGGAAGTGATTTCAATAAAAAATGAACTCATGTCTCATTTGCAGAAAATAGTCATATACCTGGAAGACATTCCCAAACACATTTCTAATAGCAGAAATGGAAAGCCAGGATGGCCCAAATCACCTGGGTCTTCTCCATTAAGAAACAATTACCATTGTAGGTGTTTCATACCTGTAATCTTTTTTTTTTCTTTTTTGGGTCAGTCATGGGGCTTGAACTCTGGGAATACGCATTATCTCTGAGCTCTTCAGCTCAAGGCTAGCGCTCTACCCCTTGAGCCACAGTGACACTCTGGTTTTCTGGTGGTTAACTAGAGATAAGAATCTCGGAATTTCCTGCCTGGGCTAGCTTTGAACCTCACTGGCTTTGAACCAAGATCCTCAGATCTCAGCCTCCTGAGTAGCTAGGAATACAATGTGAGCCACCAGCACCTGGTTCATACCTGTAATCTAATCTAAAGCTACTACAGAATGACTGCTGTTTGAGGACAGCCTAGGCAAAAAGTTCAAGAGATCCCATCTCAATAGCTAGAAGCAGTGTTCAGCTGTCATCCCAGCTACGTGGACAACTAAGATCAGGAAGATAATTCCATAACATCTCCTAAAAAAAAAAAACAAAAAGCTTTCAAGGCCTCATCTCAAAAAAAAAATGAAGCATACATATTGTCATCTCACCTATGATGGGAAGACCACAGGCCTGGCCAGACCTGACAAATAGATGAGGCAATATATCAAAATTAACCACAGAGTGATGTGAAAGGGTGGCTCATGCCTATAGTCCTTGCTACACAAGATGCTCAAGGATTACCACTTGAAGGCAGATGGTGCAGGAAAGGTTTTCCAATTAAACACCCTAAAGCCAGAAGTGCAGCTGTGGCTCAAGAAGCAGAGTGTAAAGTCTGAGTTCAGGACCAGCACACTCACAAACACACACACATACATACCCTAAAGCAAAAAGGTTGGTGACACACCTCAAGCAGTAGAATGCCTGCCTAGCAAGCATGAAACACCGAGTTCAAATCCTAGGGACAGCAAACAAGAAAAACTGGGGGAAAAGATCATTTTACTCACAAGTCCAAGCACAGAACGCACCTCACAGTCACATCCTTAATTCATTTCACTTACATCTACCATTATGTCCTCCAAAATTCCATTTCTCATTAATAGTTTCCATATCTTTTGCTTTTTCTCTTTAACCAAATTGTATAGAAAACCCACCAGCCTTTACACTTCATTCTTTTCTATACCAATTTTCAATGAAATGAAAAGTCCAATATTTCTTATCCAATTTCAGTATTTTTTTCTGATACCAAAACTTGAACTCAGGATCTTACCTGTGCTAGACTATGTTTACTTCCTTAGTTACTGTTCTACCACTGGAGCCAGGCCTGTAAACCTAGTTTTTTTGCTCCTGGTTATTTTAGAGGTGGAATGTGTCAGTCTTTTTTTCTGATACCAAAACTTGAACTCAGGATCTTACCTGTGCTAGACTTGTTTACTTCCTTAGTTACTGTTCTACCACTAGAACCAGGCCTGTAACCTAGCTTTTTGCTCCTGGTTATTTTAGAGATGGAATGTAAATAAATTTTCTGCAATGTTGGCTTTGAACTGAGATTCTACATATTTCAACCTCCTAAATTTACAGGTTTAAAACTAGCATTTAGCTCTTCAGTATTTTCTAAGTCTTAAAATTATCAATCCCATGAAGTTTTATTTTCTTTTTTTCTCCCTTTCTACTTTTCATTCTTTGAAAATACTGGTCTAAAAAAAAAAAGTAATACAATTCCTTGCTGAAGAAATGCAAAAGAATCCACAGGGCTGTGGTAAAGGAAAATCAGACCACCCTTATTGTATTTTTTCTTTTTTTTGTGTGTGTGTGTGAAGTAAGATGGGTGCTGGGTATTTAAATTTCTAGTGCTACCAAACTATAAACATGAGGTCAACCCATAACGATGATGTACTCACCCAGTCCCTATGGTTTGTATTTATAAATTACATAGTACCTCAGTATAACACAAAATAAATATATAAATTATTAGAGTATATGCTGAAATTTTTCATAAGTGTATGACAACTCTAAAATATGAGGCCAAATGGAGGCCAAACTATATAGATATATATCCAAGGATGTACGCATATGTGTGTGTGCTTACACACACACGAAAGTGATACAAAGGAAAAACTCCTCTCTATATCCACACCAACAACCTACCTATACCAACCAACCTCTAACCCCTGACAACCATACGAGAATCCTATGCCCTAATCCAAAGCCCAAATACGCTGGAGGGGCAAAGCCCCTATTTCTAGTTCAGGGGCAAAGTATCCAAAATGATGAGATTCTGCCCTTACCTTTCCAATAGAAGGCTAGGTGCGGGCATTCTGGCACTGCATGGCATCGCCTGACTTACATATACGCCACACGCTCCCTAGATTCAGTTCTGATTTTCCTATTCCTTGAGGGGGGGGGGGGGGGGCAAAACTCAAATTCTCTTCGCTAACAACCAGTTAATGCTCCCACCTCGTGGATCCGGCCCCACGCTTCCCTTCATCGTTCCCTCTCAGCGGAGACCATCCCAGGTCTTACAGATGCGCAGAGTCGCGTCCCAGCGTGGAGGCCAGCCTCCCACCCAAGCTCACCACGTCAAGAAGACCACCGCTCCCGCCTCCGCCCCCGTCGCTGCCAGCCGAGCCGCAGCCGGGAGCCGGGCGGGGGAGGGGTGGCACTCCGCCTCCCGTGACTGGCCCAGATGGCAGCAGATTCCGCCCCCACGCGCCGACAACCCTCCACGCCTCGGCCCCCCGAGGCTGCCCGTCCGCCCCGGGCTTCGAACCCCGCCCCAACTCCACCCCTGGTATCCCACGCGCCGTCCCGCGGGCTCCGGGACACACTTACCGTGCTGGGTGAAGATATTGAAGCCGGTCTCCGCGGTCCGCCCCGCAGGGTCCCGCCGGCGGCCCGAGGGCCTAGCCGCACTGCTGCCGCGGATCCCACGCGCCTGAGGCTGGAGGAGCCCGGGAGCCTCCCCGACGCGGCCCACCTGCTGCCCCATCCTGGCGCTCGCGTTCCGCCGCGCCACCGCCGACCCCCGGTCACATTCCTCCTGGGCTCCGGCCTCAGGCTCCCCGCCCGGCTTCGGCCTCTCCTTCCCTGCCCAAGCCCCTAGGACAGGGTTTCTGGCGGCTCAGCACCCGGAATCCTCACAGCAACCACCGCGCTACCTCTCGGCGATTCACACACTTTCCTTTTCCCTTCGCCTCCGGCCGCTCCGCGCCCTCACCGCCGCCGCCGCTGCCTCCACCGCCGCCGCCATCTTTAAACCGCCGAGCAACGAGACACCGTGGGGCAGAGCGTCCCCCGCTCCCCGCCCGCCCAGTCGCGACGCGGGGGGCGTGGCCTGTGTGTGGACACGCCCCGTCGCCCCGCCCACCCGAGAACGCACACCGGCAGGTTTTCTGTGTCTAGAAGAGAAAAAAAGAAAGAAAGAAAGAAGACAAACGGCTTTGGAATGGGCAAAGCCACCCATCGACTGAATGGACCACGCCTTCATGCTGGTCCTAGGGATTGATGAACTGTGCCTTCTCTGCCAGTTCCCCGGCGAAGATAGCTAGGCAACAGTGGCCCATCCTTTTTAAGAGAAAAAAGCAAGAAAGAAATAGAAACACCTTGGGTTGGGCATAGGCACCCGTCCTGGCGAGAGGGTGCCCCCTTCTCCCACGCGTGGGAGGCCCCTTGCTCCCACACACAGCACTGCCACAACCCAGCCAGACGGCGTCCCCAGCTCCCAGACAGGGCAATATTTTTCCTTAGGCGTCCCCAGGAACTGAAGCAAACCAAGCTTTCTCCTTGGTTTCCTCCTAAGATGAATCAAGCCTTTTCGGGGCATCTCCAGGAACAGTTTTTGATTCCCGAATAAGAGAGAAACAAAAGCAGGTTTAGACGGACAATGTCGTTGATGGTGATAGGAAAAAAACAACTTTTATATTTAAATTTATGACACTTAGCCCAGATTTAACAGTGGAGGGAAATAGATCCTAAGTCCTCAAAAGGTTTACACTTTTGCTAAGCCAGATGACTCTTAGTTACAGTATTAATATTGATGTTGTATCTTAAATCACATATAAATCCAGTCACAAGAAAATAGAAAACTCACATTTTGAGAGGTCAAATTTTGGAGTCCCTAGCAGTATTGCATGCAGACAATTTTTACAAAGACTTGCAAGGGAACTAACACCAAGTTTTTAAGGACAACAGCCACGTGTCTGGGTGTGGATCAAGCCTCAGCTAAGTATAAATAAACACAGCTTAAGGAGCAAGGTTCCCCTGGGCTAAACAACACAATGTACCTGCGTGTTCCCCAAAGCAAGGCCTGCCTGGCTGTACCCATTGAACCTGATATCTGCAATTCGAAGATGACTTGTCTCCCCTCTAGGTGTTGGAGCTGGATGGACAGCCCAACACCTGTTCAGGCACTGGAAAGGCTGTGACATTATTTAGACTCAGTTTCCTCACTTTACTAACAGCTGCATGCATTAAAATACCAGATTGCCTTAAGTTTACACAGACACACACGATCACACAAACACATACACACTTATACACAAAAGTTGTAAGGTGCACTTAGATTTTTGAAAAATGTGAAGATTGGACATCAAAGTTTTTTAAAATTTCAACAGCAAAATGACATTCTTTTGCCCAACATGATGGAACCACATGGTCAGTTTGAAAAAAAAAAAATTTAAACCATCACTTTTGCCAACAAACAGAATCTCTCACACGTAACCAAGTATAGCCAGGAACAGAATATGTTTAACCAGGCATCTTTGTGAGCAAGACACTTTACTTAATTTGAATACTTTTCTCAAATACACTTGATACTATTAGGCAACTAAGCTATGAGAATAGAAAAACTATCTTAACAAGTCAGATCAACTCTAATGGGAAGCTGAAGTGGGATGCCATGGGGACCTGAGGACAGTCAGGAAACTTGAGGCGATGTGCAAAGGGGCAGCTGAGCTACTTTGGGTCTAAAAAAGGTCATGGTCAGGGGCAGAGTCACAGGGAACTCAAGTCTAAAGAGTCGCCTGATCTCAGGGTATAGGCCTGGCAAGTCCTGTAACCTACTGTCCAAGTCCCCACCCCTGCCTCTAGGAATTTAGGCATGTCCACTACCTGACGGGTGGGAATCCACCTCCAAGAGTTTTTGGAAATTCCCTATGATGTGTCACATTGTAAGGAAGGCACCTGTTAGACAATTCCCTATTATCTAGTGCCCAAGATGGCGACAGTTAGACCCAGTATGTTTATTTTAACAAAGGATCTAGCAACCCCATTTTACATCAAGAGGATTGTTTAACAGGATTATTTATACAGGACTCCAAATTTGCTAACGATCAATCTTACGGTCTCTACCAAATTCCAAACTCCTTTCCCCTTCCTTTTTCATGCGGGCGTGTGGCCTTGCGGGCATGTGGCCTTAATTTGTTTTTCATCAATTTTGAAACCACAGCACTTTACATATCACTTTTTAACTTTCACCAAGTTAAGTTCAAGAGAAAACAACTTCTATGTAAAAGCAGTCATATATCAAGCCTTTAGCGCATAAAAAATTGGACAGTATAGGGGCTGGGAAGGTGGCTCAGTGGTAGAATGCTTGCCTTGCATGCATGAGACCCTGGGTTCGATTCCTCAGCACCACATAAGCAAAAAGAAAAAAGCCGGAAGTGGCACTGTGGCTCAAATGGTAGAGTGCTAGCCTTGAGCTGAAGAGCTGAGGGACAGCGCCCAGGCCCAGAGTTCAGACCCCACAACCGGACCCCCCTACCACCCCAAAAAAGGCAAGGAAAATTTTAACATAGGTATAGGGTTTTTTGTGTTTTTGTTTGTTTGTTTTGTCAGTCCTGGAGCTTAAACTCAGAGCCTTGGCACTGTCCCTGAGCTTCTTTTGCTCAAGGTTAGAGCTCTAACCACTTTGAGCCACAGCAACATTCCTGGCTTTTTCTGTGTATGTGGTTCTGAGGAATCACACCCAGGGCTTCATGCATGCTAGGTAAGCACTCTATCACTAAGCCACATTCCCAGGCCATAGGTGCAGTTTTCTTACAACTTAAATAAAACCACAATTGAAAGCAATCTATATTAATCTGAACTGTATCTATATGGAAAATAGAAAAATTTACAATTACTTTACCAAACCAATCCTGAAACAAAAATTGAAGGCAAATTTAAGAGTTTGCATGGGTTAATATTGGCAAGTAGTCGCACCAAAAAAAAAGAAAAGAAGAAAAAAGAAAATAATAACTCAAGCCAATTTTCTTACCTGTGTATGTTCGCAAAGGCAATTAGAGAATTTCTACCTCCTATGGTCCCTTTGTGTTGGCCATTTATGTCACCAGACGTAGGTGAGGTTTAGTGAAAAATTCCCTTTAAATGTAGGAACTCTTAGGGTCTTTGTCTTCTATTACAGAATAAGAATTTCTGGACAAGTCACAATGGTAAGAAAACTTGGCAGAGCTTTATTGAGTAAGTAAACAAGCAGGCAAGCAACAGGCCAAAAAAAAAACCTAGACAAATGCACAAAAGGATAGGGGCTCACTCTAGCAGAGTGTGGGTGCTCTCATGGGAAGAGACAGAGACAAAGACACAAGCACACACAGGAAGACACCCAGAGAAACACTGCTCCTTGGGCTGTTGGGATATTTATAGGGTAAAGACAGGAGGTCTGGCTTCATAGTTATGCAGAAATAGGTGTTTTGTCTTTACTCTAATCACACCTGGTGTTACTTTCTGAGTTTCCAAGCAAGAATAAATCCTGCCATAAAACATCTTTATCCTTGAGACAGGGAGGTGTCTTCTATCTTTCTTTTGGCGCATGAGGTGGCTTAAGTTTGGGAAAGGGGTTTTTCTCAGACAAGTGTTCATTTTTGAGGTGAAGAATATATCCCTCAGGAAGGAATACATACTTTTGTCTCTCTTTGTAACAAGGATGACACTTCTATGTTTCTAAATACCATATTTCTGAGCTGTCTTCACCAGACCCATTTCCTTAAGTTATCCTGCTTCATTCCCTAAAATGACTTTTGTTCCCTTAATCTTAAGGGAAGTATTTGAAGGAATATCTCCTATATTTTCTGTAAACTGACCATTCCTCATTCTTCCCAGCTTCAAATTCATCGTCGTTAAAGTAATGACAAGGGCTGGGAATGTGGCTAAGTGGTAGAGTGCTTGCCTAGCGTGCACAAATCCCTGGGTTTGATTCCTCAGTACCACATAAACAGAAAAAGCTGGAAGTGGTGCTGTAGCTCAAGATAGCATGCTAGCCTTGAGCAAGAAGAAACTCAGGGAATATGTTCAGGCCCTGAGTTCAAGCCCCAGGACTAGCAAACAAACAAAACCCTAAAACAAATAAAGTAATGACTATATTTCAAGGTATTTCTAACAATTTGTTGACTTGTCTACAATCTTTCAAGTAACCAGAGAGGGGTCTTTGCAGCAGTCAGTGTAAACACAGGATCCCTCAAGTCTGGCAATGGATCTGAAATCAAAAGGTAACCTCTTGTAAGGGTCAAGTAAGGAAAAGCTGGGCTATAAATACTGCCTTAGTGATAGGATATTTTCAGGGGTTAAGTGTGTATTTGACAGAGATGTGTCCCAACTGTGGAAGGACAGCAGAGATTCTATAAACAGGGAGGAATTCTAGTTATATGAGAAACCTCCAGTAGAGAAGGTTGCATACAAAAGGGGTAAACAAGAAATCTACAATGTGGGAGATGAATGCAAAGGAAAACACACACAGGGACCTGCTGAAAATAGGGAATAAAAATTCTAGCCCAGAGAAGAAAATTAAAGTGGAGCTAAGGAGGATCTCTTCGACATTTTTCAAATAGTCTATTGGGGAGAATGTTGACAAAAGGTCTACCTGAGAGTGATCTAAATCAATAAAGTCTCTTTTCACTTTGAGCTCACTATTTTGTGTGTGTGTGCTAGTCCTGGGATTTGAACTCAGGGCCTGAACTTCTTTGGCACAGTGCTAGCTAGCACTCTAACCACTTGAGCCACAGCTCCACTTCCAGCTTTTTTTTTTTAATTGGTAGTTTCTTGGAGATAAGAGTCTCAAAACTCCTACCAGGGTTGGCTTTGAACCACAATGCTCAGATCTCAGCCTCCTGAAAAGCTAGGATTACAAGCAAGAGTCACCAGCACCAGGCTGATCTCACTTTTTTTTTTTTTTTTTTTTGGTGGGGCTAGGGGCTTGAACTCTGGGCCTGGGTACTGTCCCTGAGCTCTTCAGCTCAAGGTGAGTGCTCTACC